CTCTCTGCTGGAGAGGTGAGCAGGCCGCTGGCAGCCAGGAGCAACGAGAACGCGATGGTCAGGCCAGCGAAGGGCGCGACGACCGAGAGCGGCAGGACCCCGAGGACCGCCACCTCGACGACTGTTGCAAGGATGCCGAGCAGCACGAACCCCGCAATCCACTTTGGATTCCGCCACGGTGGGAGGTCCGGTCGGCTGTCGCCGGCCGCCTTCATCAACAGCAAGCCAGAGGCGCTGCAGAAGCAGCCGACGGGCAGCAGCAGCATCCCCGCGCTGCGCGAAAGCGGCATGTTGACTCCATCGTGCCCACACTACGTACCCCCAGACCCCCATACCCCATACAGTTGCACCCCCATACACCTTCCTCCGGCCATGCTGCTGCTCTCGCTGCCCGTCGTTGTTGGATTCGCCGCCAATCCCTGGGTCTCCGTCGACGACCTGTGCGAAGCTCTGGTCACTTACGCCAACGATGGCTGCAGCGAGGACAAGACAAGGCAGGAGAAGCCCGCGTGCGTCGCCGAGCTGTCGGTCTTCTCTAGGGGTGATGGCTTGCTCAGCACCCAAGAGGCGATTGCGGCGCTTGACGCGATCCCAGATACCCTCACCAAGGCCCTTGGGGCGGTCGATGTTGGCGCGACTTGCCTGCGCGAACGCCTGCGAAGCATCATCAACGATGAGATCCGCATGCAGTCGTCGCACCTCGGTTGGTATGCCCCTTTTTTGCACTACCCCCTCTATCGCTATCAGGATTTGTACTACTTCCTCGCCCTGGGTACAGTCAGGATGGGGCCGCAGAAGTCCTGCCTCATGGCGAAGATCTATAGTGAGATCTATCACATCCCGCAACTCCGTCTTTTGCGCGTTGAAGGGATCTTGATCCCTCTGAGGGATGATTGTGTCTTGCTCTTTTGTGTTTCCGAGAGTAACTAGTGGTAGCGAAGTAGTCTCGGTGTACTCTCAGGGACGGGGCGGCGGTGGCGGGCTCGCAAGCCGGAGGCGGCGGCGATGGAGGAGGAAGCGGGACGGCGGTGGTGGCGGTGGGGATGGCGGCGGCGGTGTGCGATGGTGCCGCTGGCACTGGCGGAGGCCGCGCACGCGCGCGCTATCCGGGAGGGTGCGGGCCGGGACATGAGCCCCACTCCGCAGGAGCGGCAGCGTGGCGTGGCGGCAGGGCGGCGACAGAAGTACAGCGTGGCGTGGCGGTCGGGCGGGAAAGGGTGTGGGTCTCGAGAGGTCGTGGGTGGTGGGCGTCGCGCCGCCTCAGTTCCGCATGGGCGCCGTCCCGTTCCAGCGGAAACCCACGCCCCAGTGGTCGGACGCCTGCCACACGCCGCCGCGCGCGCCCAAGCCGGCGGGGCACCCGCCCCAGATGTACGCGAAGGGCGCGAGCCCAGACTCGGGCGGCGGGTCGAGCGAGTGCCTGCCTCGCAGCGTGGTGCGGTGGAGCACGCGCAGGCCGGCCGCGGCGGACGCGTCGTGCGCGCCGCTCGCCGCGCGGTGCGACACTGCGAGGTTGTCGAGGAGGAGCAGGTCGTGCCGGCGGTAGGTGTGGTGCGCGCGGTGCGGCGCCTGCTCTCCGACGCGAGGAGGCGTGAGGAGGCGCGCGCTCGTCCGGCGAGGTCATCAGCTGCGGT